TGATGCTAATATGGATTTTTAGGGAGGGAGAAATTCTGATATCTATGTTTTGGTGGATATTCTTTACATATACAGTATGTGTAACAAGTGAAAGTCGCTCTGCAGGACAAACTATGTGATGACACTGCCTAGAAATTACCACAAGTTTTTTTTTTCTGCATGAAAACTGTTTGCATCAGTGCATATCAGACAACAGATTCCTGGAGACTTACATAAAGGTTGAATGAAAACATATATGCTGATGCCGATACATCTACGATAGGTCAATATATGTGTGCAACCGATGTATCTAATTGGATTGAACATGAAGTAGGCTATCATTACACATTGCATGAAGACTTTATAAATGTTACGTTTTATAGGTGTGATTTTGATCTGCACAGTAGTGCTTCTCGCTGTGTTCGCTTTGTGAATTAGGATCCTTTTTAAGAATGTCCTCATCAGACTTTCATCAGAATACCTCATACTGATCCCTGATCCAGTCTAACAATCCACACCGTTTATTCCCCCTGCGTAATGCCTCTCTTTATCTTCTCCGGCTCCTCACCCAGCAGAAGCATTTTCCCAAATGCACATTGCTCATCAAGCTGAGCTCATTTCTGAAGTGGCCACCTTAAGATGGGAACCACCATTGTTCCACAGGAAACGATGTCAATGGATTAGCCGATCCCTTTCAAGCTGAGATGGGGTTGCAGTGAAAGAGACGCTAATGTGGTTTTGGACAATGGTTGCTCAGAAAATGCAGTGGATTCTCTTGATTTTAGACAAGAAATAAACAATGAAATGTCTGTAATGTATCTGTGCAGCAGCAGTAATCTGTCAGCTGGAAGGTCATTATGATCAGCATATGCGATCACAAGTATGATGACCATAAAAATGCATGAAAACTTAATTAGCATTCTAACCGTACTGTTAAAAAAAGAGCGAGTGAAAAATAGACCTTTGTCTTAACTGTTATTTTCTTGGGGTTTTTTTTCTGCTTGGGTCCTTTTTATGGCTCAGTCAGATCAGCAGGAAGAAAACTGCCGGTGTGGGGGATGAGAACGACTCCCACTCAGTTGACACCTGGGTGTGTGCGCGTTTGAGTGTGTGTGTGGTGTGTGTGTGTGTGCATGCATCAGGATGCTGTTAATATAGCTCCACCATTATGTAGATTAGCCCTATTCCCCTGAGTGTACCTTTACCATTTGGAGCTTTCAATCACTCTGCTGCTTTATAGGAGTCAGGACAAACACACATACACACACTAACAGATTTCAGGACATATGTGCATTCAATCACCATTTTTTATGGACATCGTATACATGCATAAAATCCCATCGCAGTCGACAACACACACACTTGATCCACACATATATCAGACCAAGGTTACTGACTGGACCTCCATCACATTCCAGATGCACATGCTGCTAATTATGCGCTCCTGCACTGTATTTATTCATGCTGCAACACTTTGTGTGTGCGAGTGTGAAAGAGCATTTGAGCGAGTGAGTGATCACTGGGTGGGTTCGAGTGTTGATTGCATTTGAGCGGCGACGACAGACCCGTTTTTAATCACAAACTCAGGATCGATACTCTTTTCAGCAAAGCTACGGCATCAAGGATGTTCAGCAGTGTGTGTGTGTGCGTGTGTGTGTTTGTGTAGAAGGTAATCTAGATCACTGAGTCCACAGCAGATGAAGAGAGACAGTCTTTGAGGAGCATTTGCTTTGAACTAACCTATTTTCAGGTGCGTGTTTGTACTTTCCGGGCTGCTTGTGTTGTTCTGAGTATATGTAAGGGTCTGCTCTCCTGCTTGTGTGTGTGTGTGTGTGTTCATGTGAGCTCTCTCTGTGACTGACACAGTGCAGAATTGATAATATGAACTGTGTGCAGTGCTGATTATCTCTCTGTGTATTTTTGCTGCTATTAGCCAACGCTGGTCAATACAGTCTGAGGTTCAGCTGCACCGGAATAACCTTTCACCGTGTTTACAAAACAGGCAGCCTCAGGGTTTCCTGGGATATTACAGCATTTTATAGCAAAGCACACTCACCTCAACATGACTGCATGAACTCAGAGTCGACCTCTGACTAGCTGCCCTTGTAAACTCTCTACCTCTACTTGCCTCTTTGTGTTTTAAAGGTCTCAGGCTGACCAGATTTTAAATTTAGGTGCAACAACAAATTTGTAATATTGTCCCACAGTATAGAAAATATCGCAGCTACAATGTACAGTTTATGCATTAGAGAAAGCTTATTACACCTACAGAATACATGTGTGGTTTTGTAAAAATTGGTAAAAATGTGTTATAATCTGGCAAAGAATCTAATTAGTCGCTGATCAATGTGATTTTGTAGGAGTGCTTAAAGTTCTCTTTCAATTTTCCTCCTCAATTTCCAAAGATCCATCATTTATTTCAGGCAATTTCAGCCTCCAGTGATCACGTCACAACAAAACCTAGTTTTTGATTGTTTTTCCAAACAATTAACATTATCTTCTCGCAGTCAGGCCAATTTTCAGCATTTGAACCGAAGCGGCTTACTTCATTTGTTCATTAGTCTGCTGTAATCCCACAGTGTGCCTGTTTGTCTGTGATAGCTTCAAATCTCTGCTCAGTCAATATTCTTCTACATTCAAAAACATCAACCTTTTGAGAAAGTATGGTGCAGGATGATGCTCTTATCCTCGGCCACAATACGTCCTTAGAAAATCACAAGAATCCTCTGCTCACTGTTAAATAGGTTTTCATTGTGATTTGACATGACTTTGTGCGTTGCTGCTGGCTAGTTTGTTTTTAGTAAATGACTCTGAGGTTGTGTGTGTCAGACTGATGGACTACATGAGACAGACCTAGTCAACCTGTTGAATACCTTCATGCTAAATGTCCTGTCACTACCAATGTCACCTCTGAGAGTCAGCTGTCAGCGCCACACGGGAGTCTTCCTGCCGCAGTTTGAGGCACATATGATGAATCTGTCAGCTGATTAAATGTATGGAGCTATGGGGATGAAGATGCCTTGTGTGTCACTGTGTTTCTTTTAAGCCGGTTGTAAGGATAAAGTAGGGTTCATTTGGCTTTAGATTTTCAGGATTTATTTTCGAGGAATTTATCCTGTTTCGTAATACCTCTGTGCCGGCGACAGGCTGGAGGTGTTTTATTTTTGGTTTGTCCGTCCCTACATACATTCGTCCTCGTCTCAGTAACGCGATATCTCCTGAATGCCTTTAGGGAATTTCTTTAAATTTGGCTCAAACGTTGACTTGGACTCAAGGATGAACTGATTAGTCTTTTGTGGTGAACTCACAAAACGTTTTTTCTTCTTCTTTTCTTTAACTCAAGAATTCATAGGCTAATAATTCCCACAAATGGCTGATAGGATAGAATAATGTAGGAGTAATGTAGAAGGATGTGACTAATTTTTGATGCCCACCTATTAATAATAAATACCTTCTTGAGTACATGTATTGTGTGTTTTGAATAGACATGGTTGTAAATTGTGACTAGAAAATTAATTGATTCATTGATATCATGTCAATAAAGTCCCCACCTCTCTCTCCATGCACCCCTCCTCACTGACTGCAGCTCGAGCACACCAGCTCACCTACAAGTCAACTCTGTAAAACCACCCTGTGCTGCACATTTGCAAGTTATATTGGAGTGGTTCAGCCATAGATGTTCAAACCAGGCGAAGAATAATGAGATGGAAAGCTTGGCTCTGCAGGATTGGTTCTTTGTTACATATAAAACCTTGATAGTCTGAATCTGTGTTTTTGAGACTGTCCTTGGTACACTGCAGTTTTATGGTGGAAACACTCAGCCATGGCTTTGACTCTCATGCTGCTTCCAACATAGAAAAAACACCGTACAGATGTTGTGAGGGAGCTGGGAAGCATCCTCCTCACTAAGGTGAAAGAGGAGCACACATGCACATTGTGTCTAACACAGACAGATGCAGCAAGTTCATTTATTATTTCGTTTTGTGTGAAAAGACGCTTGTTATCTGCTCTCTCTTTGAGATCCACTCCAGGGACGTGTTTTCATGGAGAGCACACATGAAGATGTGGCTGCAGGATGCCAGCAGTTACCACTTATCTGATTAGGCTGATAAGGAAGTTTATTTGGTGTTTTCTTTCATTTGTATCAGACTGTAGTCATTTGCATTGTGTATTTTAAGTGTAAATGGTCTTAAATTATATAAACATATATGTGTGTGTGTGTGTTTTAAATGTGGGCAGGTCACAGTGTCACTGGGGTGGGAGGAGACTTTGTATAAAGGCCAGGTGAGCGATCAGTGCGGGGTGTGAGAAGGAGGGGGTCAGGTTGAGGCTCTCACTCTGCTGCTGCAATTTGCCACAATCCACTGCACCTTGGTGACTCCTTTGTCCTGCTGGTTTTGGTGAGCTGTGTATTTTTTGTGTGGACATAAGTAAAATCTGGAGCTCTGGAACGAAACACTCATTGCTGGTCGGCTGCTCTTTATTGTTCTCTCATGCTATGCCCTTTAATGTCGTTTGGTTTATCCAGTTTGTAGAGGTTCATCACTATCAAAACCCTACAGACGTGTTATCATCAAGTATTGATTTTGACCTGAGGGAATTTTTAATTTAGATGACATAAGAGGTCAAGAAGGCATGATTTTAAATGTTTGAACAAACACAAAGTGATGTCTTCTTAAATAATAAAAAAAAGTCCATATTTTCTCTCTCCTCACAATAAACAGTCAAAGTGAGTCCAGCGTGTACAGTACCTGAGTGCTTTTGGTTCCCTGCTCGCGTACGCACTGACAGTGGGGAGGTGAAAGATGGGGAGGGTTGAGTGAGGCAGTAAGACCCAGAGGAGGAACAGAGAAAGAGAGAGAGAGAGAGAAAGAGAGAGAGAGAGATAGAGAGAAAGACAGACAGAGAGAGAGAGAGAGCGAGCGAGCGAGAGAGGGAGGTGGGAGGAGAGAGTGGAGAGAGGAGGAGGGACTGTGTTCACTGCCGGCTCTATGCATTGCAGCTCGTGGTGTTAGCGCGCCAGTGTGCGTCTGAGCCTGCCAGCGCCAGTGTGTGCATCGGTGCGTCGCCGTGTGTGTGTGAATGTGTGTGTGACTCCAGCGCTCTCTCTGCGTACGACAGGTGGAGATGACATGACTGCGCTCGAGAGGAAAAAAGGAAAGGACCTGTAAGGACTTCACACTCACACACACACACACACACACACACACACACCTACACACACGCACACACACGCACACCTTTTCCCCTACATTCCCTCACACACACCTTTAAATTCCTGCACTCCTCAGATAGATAAATTGTTCACTCTAAGTGTGCGTGTGTGTGTGTGTGTCAAAGTGCTCTTTTTCCAGCAGCTTATCGCTCAGACACTTGATTTCATGTGTGAACAGCAGACAGCTCAAACACACACAGACACACAGAGGTCCTGACTGTTGTTTTTGATGCCCGCAGACGTGGTCAGCAAGTGTTTCTGCGTCCTGAGGAGAGTTCAGCTCCAGCCCTGACTACCAGACAGTCCACCACGTTGTCCGAACAACTCCAGGTAGGATCTTCTCTTCTCTTCTCTTCTCTTCTCTTCTCTTCTCTTCTCTTCTCTTCTCTTCTCTTCTCTTCTCTTCTCTTCTCTTCTCTTCTCTTCCTCTCTTGCCTACACTGTCTGAAAAACAGGATGCTATATGCTTGATGCCCTCTGCCCTCTTCTGTTCTTTCTTCCTTTCAAAAATTTTTTTTTGGCATCCTCTTTGATCGACTCTGTAACAACAGGTGACAAATGTTCAACGTTTTCCTCCACTCCCCTGGTTTTCCACATGTAAAATCACTCAACATCCCTTTTGAGGAGCAATTTTCTTCCGTCCTCACACTCTTCTGTCCTCCTCTCTGACTCATATCATCCCCCTCTTTTTCTGTTCTTGTTTTTGAGAACGATGAACTTTTCTCTGGAGGAGGTAAGTTCTGACTCCTGTTGCTGCAGCTTTTGGTGTTTCTCTGTTGATTGAGTCAGTGAGACACTTATTACTTCCCCAGGGCTTCTGTGTGTGTGTGTGCGCGTGTGTGTGCGTGTGTGTGCGTGTGTGTGTGTGTGAGAGAGAGGGATCAGATAATAGACGGAAAAATACAACACAGAAATTAAATTTAAAGACAGTGACATTTTGTGTTTGGGTGCTCGTGCATCACCAATCTTATTTGCGTACGTGTTTAAAGCTGCTACGTTTTGCAGCCAAATTGATGCCTTTTGTTCTTGTGGTCCTCAGATCAGTAAACCTCATTTCGTTCTTGTCCATCTTTACCTTCCTGCGCCTTGTTTCGGTCTGTTTTGCGCCTTCGTTTGAATTCATATGATTTATGACGTACAAGCAGATACATAAAATTTTGAATTGGTGCTCTCTTGTATCTTTGCACGTGCCACGTAGCAGCACGAGTGTGTGTGTGTGTTTGTGATTTATATTGCAGTGGGATTTAATGTTGGCAGCTAAATAGAAAAAATGCTTGATTGGCTGCCAGTGTCGACATGTTGCGCTCAGATCCAATTACCTAGACATGTATATGCTCAGATATGGAGGCACGTGTGCACACACAAGAGACCCTCACACACCTATCATTGCGATTTTTAAAGAAAGCGATAAACGGTATACAAAATACTTATTCATCAATCACTGTCAGTGTGTTGCAAGGCAAAGACCCAGTGCATATATGCATGTATTTAAAGGTTGTGTGTAGCATAATACATTTTTCGGCATGTGTTTTCCCATAATTATCATCCTTTAGATATTTAGTTGTGATTTCTTTCATTTATTCACCCTTGTACATGTTTGTGTATGTCTCCACATCCTTGTTTGTGTTTCTGTTGTTACAGTTCTAATGTCAACCCTCCACGTGTGTATTTCCGCAGTTGTGTTATGCTGCTGAAAGTCTAGTCTGGCTGCATTCCTCTCTTACAAACCTGTGTGTGTTTTTAAATGGTTTGTTGCTGATGGCTGGTTGTTCGCTGTAATGCTGCCTGTGATTTGACTGCTGGTGAACACGCAGCGTGTGCAGCACCACCACCACCGCCAAGGGCGACCTGAAAGAATGACATCTGTTTAGATCTCAAAGGTGTGTTTAGAGGGACACAAACGCTTCTCATTTATTTTCCTGATCAGTGAGGTTTTTGTAGTTTTGTCTCTGTGGGTCCACAAAAGGGTTTGTGGCAACTCTTACTTTGTGATTCAACAGCATATGACAAATATGTCTATGAAAGGAAGCACATCCCTCTCCAGTAATGCTGTTTTTGCATCTCTGCAATGATCTGATTCTGCACATTTGTACGTTTTTACAGTATCGGAGTCAAATGCGAGCGTGTGAGGCAGTGAGGCAGTAAAAACAGCAGGTTAATCTCTTCTCAGTCTCCAGCAGAACAGATGTGAGGATTAATTCGTCAGGGAATCGGGGTGGTGCTTCTGTGCCTGTGTTTGCGAGGGAGACACTGCGTAGTTGCACAAAAACTCAAATATTGAGGAGGGGGAAAGGTGTTTGTGGATCCTGTGTGTGTATGTATACACATGTATATACTCTTCTGGGATCCTGTGTGTCAATATAAATGATTGCTGTTTAATAGCTCTTTGTATTCACTAATACTAAAGTCTCACAGATGTGATGTTTACATGCGTGTCTGTGTGAGTCTCCACAAGTGTGTGTGCACCTAAAAAAAAAAAAAAGACATCAGATGCAACACTTGGGGACAGGTGTGTGGTCTTGATTCCCCTCCTCCAGCTCCTAGTTAACTGTCATCCTCATCATTTTGTCAGCACAGATGTCTCCACATTTTTCTCTCATTTATCCAAAGATGATGTGTGCGAGTTGAAAGCAAAGGAATATTCTTTGCTGAATGCTTAGGTGGAAAAAGCCCATTTAAACTTCACCAACACAAACACAAGGTGCGTAATTACCCTTGTGTGTATGTGTTTGGGTGTTTTGTGTCTGTGAGAGTCCCGAATAGCTTGACCTTAATGACATCAAAGTGTTTCTGCCGGATGGAGTAGGTTTAGCCTACTAAAGTTTACGCTCTGTAGTGTTATATTTTTCAGTTTGGAGACAGATGGGAGGCTCTGCGCTCTGACCTCACTGCTGGAGGAACATAAAGAGACAATTTTTTTTCTTACGGGAATAAAAACACGATGACTATTGCATTAGTTGAATTCAGCCTGTTTGCCCACATGTGCAGGCCTGTCCTGGTGATAGGATGCTTAATGTGATTTGACAACAAAGATATTGATTTTACGACTACAGAAAACAGTTTCACTTGGTGGTTAGCACCTCTCTGTATCATTTCATCTCTCACTCTAATGGTGTCTTTCCCTTGTTATTGTACAAGCAGCAGGCTGTGCGTGTTTACATTTTGTTTTTTCATATAGTCTGATGTAGAGAATTTGGAAAAAGCTCTGACTTTTTTTTCAGTATTAGTCTAAAATGTATTTTCCCCCAACCCCTAGCTACTTCTCCAAAAATAAATTAGCATTTGATAAATGTAATAAACATTTTTGGCAAAGCTTGATCAAAAAACAGCATCTACAGCAGCCAGAGTCAGATGCAATAAACTAGTGGCGCTCCCACTAATATCTAACATTTTCAGTTTAAAGGGAGACACGAGGAAGCAACAATTTAGTCCTTCAGATCTAATGTGACCATTTCAGCCTTGTGTGAAACCTCCAGTGTGTATTTATTCCTTCTTGTCTACTCGGCTTTTATCCTTAATGTGAGTATACCAGCAGCCTGACATGCAGCAGCAGCTACAAAGCTTGATATTCAATCAAGTACACACAGCACTGGGGACCATTAAGATTGAAACAAATTATCTCTAATGGTAGCAGATGACTGGTGACCTATGTAGGTAGTGTGCTACTGTAGGATGTGTGAAGTGGCGTAGGAGCCACTACAGGGAAAATGGATTGGAACTCATTTGGCACTAGCAGATAACCACTGTAACACACGACCCTTAAAACCTGCAGGAGTAGTCTGCTCTGTGAAGATTCAAGTGGACTCACACATTGCAGTGACAATATCTTGAGGGCCTGTGTTTTTCATGTAGCTGCAACACAGCAGGTCACATCAGTTGCATGCTCCAAATACAGTTTTTTTTTCTTTTTTGGCTTTTGCCTTTATTTATCAGAGCAGTGGAGAGAGACGGGAAGTTGATTCCCGACCGCTGCGTCGGGAACTATGGCCCCGTTTGTGGGTCGTGTCTTGTCCAGTTGAGCTACCGGGGTGCTGCATGCCCCAAATTATACCTCAGTCCTACATAATTCTGTAAAAAAGTCCTTAAGCAGAGCATAGGGAACCTGTGCACACACATAACAAAGCACAGTGACAGAGGAGAAGATGACTTTTGCATAATTGTTGCACCATTTACATGCATCAAAATCTCCAATGACGAACTAGGCTACATTTCGATGATGCCAATACAAATTTAGATTTTTTATTTTTTTTGCTTAACCTGTTTCATACATAGTATTGTGGTCATATGGAGCTCCAGATACTGTCAGTCACAAAGTTCCACCCCCAGGTGTGCGCTTCATCTCTCAGTTTTATTGTCTAGATCAATGGTGGCTAGATTTAAACTGGGAGCAGCATTCATAATGTGGCGTGATTCCCGCTCCGAAACCTCGAGGGGCTCGCTGATAACAGGCGAGGTGTGACATGCATAAGCAGCGGCTGCAGCAGCGGAGATTGCGCTGAAAGCTGGAATCGATCGCTCACTCGGCAGTGGCAGGCAAACTTGGTTGCTCGTTAGCTGATCGGGTTCACATCGCTAGTTGAGTTTGGTGCATGAACCCGCCTGCAGACTTTGTTATAATTTCTGTTTTTATTCAGGAAAAGTACAGCATCAGTCCAATCAATTCCACTTTTAATTTTTTTGCAATATTAACATGCCACGGTTTCAGATAAAAAAACAAACTCTACAGTACAAGTAATGTGTGTTTGCGCATTAAGTTCATTCATAAAGATGGATTCTGCTGGGCTTGTTATGATCCCAGGAAGGTAAATGCACACACACTGAATTTTAAGGAGGTGTTATATGTACAGTCTCGCTGGGGGGTGCTCATTTGGTCGTCCATTGATCATGCTGAGCACAGAGCAGCCATTAAAATACCACCCACCTGTGCATCTTGAAAAACATCCCTCTGCTTTGCAACTAAAACACTGACCAGTGCCAGATTCAAGGCTGACAGTAAATGGGATGCATTGATAATAGTCTGTTGAATTTAAGATTACAAAAGTCAGGGGGTGCCAACTTGTCTTACGTCTACTTATGTTTTAGCTGAGCAGAGCAACAGTTTCACAGTTTGTTGCAGTTAAACTCTGCGAACTCCATATATCCCCCAGGGAAACAATATATTACTCTTTCTTGTTTCTTTTTATTGTTTTTCTTCATGTGCCAGTTTAAAGTTTACACGATATCATTCTGGTGCAGCTTGAAACATTTCTCCTTGCACAGAGTCGTGATGCAGGATTGGAAGCACAGATAAGGTTTATCTGCTGTATTCCTAATTAGGATGCTTAATTAAA